AATAAATGATTCATGCTGGTGATTTGTGCTTCACAGACCGCCCTGCTGCTCCTGTCAATGTCTCTGTTACTCACCTGCGGGCAGATTCGGTCACCGTGTCCTGGAATATTCCGGAGGGAGAGACCGTAATTGGCTTTGCCATCTCGCAGCAGGTCAAAGTTATTACAATGAGATGCAGCCCTGGGGCGTTATTATAATAGCAGAAGTCTGACATTTAATATCAGCAATAAATTTACCCTCTGATGAATCTTCATGTGCTTGGACTTAAACGTGTGTGTGTGTGTGTTTTTTTTTGTGTGTGTGTTTTTGTGTGTGTGTTTTTAGCGTCAGGACGGGTTGATGCAACGTTTCATTCGTGAGGTGAACACGACCAGTCGTGCTTGTATACTTTGGGATCTGGATGAAGACGCGGATTATATTATCCAGGTCCAGTCCGTCGGACTCTATGGAGAGAGTCTGGCCAGCAAAAAGATTCACTTCAGGACGCTTAAAATGTCTGAACATATTCAATCCACCATGATGGATCAGGGTAAACATGTCTGTTGGTTATTTTTTTATTGGATCATATACAGCATTAGTACAGTATCATTCATTTAATAAAGTACATTTCACATTTTTATTGTGAAATATCACTTTAACATGGAAGCCCATTTCTGCCACGGAATAAAAAAATGAAAACGGTAATTGCAACTTTTTGTCTCACAATTCTGACTTTTTATTCTCGCAATTCTGAGTTTATATATCAAAATTCAGACTTTGTTTTTCACAATTCTAATTCTCACAGTTCCGAGTTTGTCACAATTCTGAATTTCTATCTTGCAATTATGACTTTTTTTCCCCCCCCTGAATTCTGAGTTTACATCTCACAATTGTTTTTGTTTGTTTCTGCCACAGAATAAAAAACAACAAAGGTAATTGCAATTATTTATCTCATAATTCTGACTACTTTTTGTTCAGAACTGAAGTCTGAATTATGAGATATAAACTCAGAATTGCAAAAAAAAAATCTGATTTGTGAAATAAAAATCACAATTACTTTTTTGTTTTTTTGTTTTTTGTTTTTTATATATATACTTTTTTTTTTTTTTCTGTGGCAGAAACAGGCTTCCATACTTTAAGAAGTCAATTAAATGATTCGACCACCGAAAACTCGTGAAATCAAACACTTTGGTGGCTCAGAAAACCCAAACTCAGCAAAAATATGCAATTTGGTTCAGTTGCTGATATTTATATGGCCAAAAAGTAAGATGAAGTTCTTTATAGTGTGTAATGTAAATAATGATTAGTGTTTTGATTAATTATCCTATTAAACGGGAAGTTTTTGTGCAGCTCAAAGCTAACAGACATGATCTGTTTCATGAGTTTTTAATAAGTAACATTATTATTAATGCTCTTCAATCCTCTAACATGTGGTGTTGTCTTGTTTACCTGATCAGATGACCCTGCGGTTGAGGGTTTAGACCTTTCCAGACACCTGCAGACTGGAGAGATACTGATCATTATGACTGTACTGCTAATGTGGGCTATATATACTTTTTTTTTTTTTTCTGTGGCAGAAACAGGCTTCCATACTTTAAGAAGTCAATTAAATGATTCGACCACCGAAAACTCGTGAAATCAAACACTTTGGTGGCTCAGAAAACCCAAACTCAGCAAAAATATGCAATTTGGTTCAGTTGCTGATATTTATATGGCCAAAAAGTAAGATGAAGTTCTTTATAGTGTGTAATGTAAATCAATGATTCGTGTTTTGATTAATTATCCTATTAAATGGGAAGTTTTTGTGCTGCTCAAAGCTAACAGACATGATCTGTTTCGTGAGTTTTTAATAAGTAAAATTATTATTAATGCTCTTCAATCCTCTAACATGTGGTGTTGTCTTGTTTACCTGATCAGATGACCCTGCGGTTGAGGGTTTAGACCTTTCCAGACACCTGCAGACTGGAGAGATACTGATCATTATGACTGTACTGCTAATGTGGGCAGGTAAAGGGTGTTGTGTTGGATTTAGTTACACATAATCATGATGAACAAGAAATATTCTGGTTGCAATGATATTCATGTTATTGATTACCAAAGGAAATAATTTTGACTTGTCCTTCCTCCTGTAAAGCCTGACATATAAAATAATAGTCAGAAAAATATTATTATTTTTTTAAATGTAACAGTTTATAGAACCTTTAGGCAAAATAAACAGTATATGTGACCCTGGACCACAAAACCAGTCATAAGGGTAAATTTTTCAAAATTGAGATTTATACATCATCTGAAAGCTGAATAAATAAGCTTTCCATTGATGTTTTGTTAGGATAGGACAATGTTTGGCTGAGATACAACTATTTGAAAATCTGGAATCTGAGGGTGCAAAAAAATCTAAATATTGAGAAAATCGCCTTTAAGGTTGTCCAAATGAAGTTCTTAGCAATGCATATTACTAATCAAAAATTAAGTTTTAATATATATACAGTAGGAAATTTACAAAATATACCCTAATGATTTTTGGCTATTTGGCGATAATTTTGACCCATACAATGTATTTTTGGCTATTGCTTTTTGAGTATGAGTTATACGAGTCTCACATCAGAGAATATGGAGCTGTGCATGTGTATGATAAAATATGTATGGATCATCAGGTAAACCTTACACCGCACAAAGCCATGTGAACCATGATCTGAAGGATGTTTTTACAATTATACATGCTAAAAAAAGAATAGGCTATCAATCAGATGACAGAAGGCATGCAGGGGACCGGTTTTTCAGCAACGTTTTGATCGTGCTGATAATTTAGAGACCTTAATACAAATATGATGCAGTAGGGTTTTGAATGCAGAGTTTCCATTTATCAGAGCTGTAACATTCTTTTAAACTTCTTAGATCTGCATTCAATACATTTTGGCATCATTGAAATATTTTCCTAAAGTTGCAGAATACTAGGCCTACCTTGTTGATTTTACGATGACCTTAAGAAAACGTTCTCCTTTCAAACTCAATTGGGATGTCTAGATGGATGATAGTGTGTTGTTTTAATTAAACATATCAGATCTGCGTCCCGTAATCAAGCTGATCTCTGTCTCGCTGCAGCTGTGATCGTGCTCTTCTGTAAACAGTATGATATCATCAAAGACAACGACTCCAACAACCACAGTAAAGAGAAGAGCAAGCCACTGTCCGGCCAGAGCACTCCAGAGTATCATAACGGAGGCCTGCTGGGCAGCAAGGTGAGACCTTCACCACTGATCACATATGGTTTTAATCAGCATGTGAACATGCTTTTTATGCATTCAGAATATATATATCAAATAAAATTGTGTTGCATTTTAATTCAGATTTATGTAAATATGTCTTCACTCTTAGTAGCCTGATCAAATAATAAGTCAAACAGAGATGTTAAAAATCACACTTCGCATTACTTTTGGTTGATTTGTCACTTTGGAAATGTAAGGTTAAATGTGACCCTGGAGCACAAAACCAGTCGCTTGGGTATATTTGTAGCAATAGCCCAAAATACATTGTATGTACATTGTGATTTTTCTTTTATGCCAAAAATCATTAGGGTAAAGATCATGTTCCATGAAGATATTTAGTAAATTTCCTACCGTAAATGTATCAAAACTTAATTTTTGATTAGTAATATGCATTGCTAAGAACTTCATTTGGACAACTTTAAAGGTGATTTTCTCAGTATTTCGATTTTTTTGCACCCTCAGATTCCAGATTTTCAAATAGTTGTATCTCGGTCAAATATTGTTCTATCCTAACAAAACATCAATGGAAAGCTTATTTATTCAGCTTTCAGATGATGTATAAATCTCAATTTCGAAAAATTTACCCTTATGACTGGTTTTGTGGTCCAGGGTCACAAATAAGGAAGTCTATAATTCCACGATATACATTCTCATTCTCCAGAATACACATACAGATTTTGTCAGAATATATGGCTACTTTGTTTACAGGCTGTACTTTATGTCTGCATATTGCATATTACATTGCGGTACAAAGTATTGTATACTGCATGATTTTAAAAATGCAGTAGGTTCTGTATTCTGTATATACAGAAAATTTGGTAACACTTTACAATTATGTCCCATTAGTTAATGCATTAACTAACATTTACTATACAATTTGTTACAGTATTTATTAATCTTTGTTAACGTTAACGAATGTAAATAAAGTTAATAAAAATATTATGCTTCGTTGTTAGCTCATTCTCGTTAGCTCAGGTACATTAAATAATATTAGCATATAAAACTTTTGATTTTGATAATAAATTAGTAAACATTAACTAAGATAATTAAATGCTTTAGAAGTATTCTTCATTCTTAGTTAGTTAGTGCATGTTAACTTCTGTACTTAACTAATGTTAATAAATGGAACCTTACAATAAAGTGTTACCAAAAATTGCTTTAAAAAGATTTTTTATTGTTAGTTCATATTAACTAGTGTAGTTGACTAATCTTCGCAAATGGTACTTTATTGCAAAGTATTACTGAAAATTGCTTTAAATCAATTCTTCATTGTTAGTTAATGCTTACTAATATAGTTAACTAATGTTAATAAATAGAACCGTATTGTAAAGTATTACCAAATATTTTTCTTCTGAAGTATTTTTTATTGTTTATTCATGTTAAACTAATGTAGAATACGGTGAAGTAAAATCCTGCCTCAGAATTATAGTTTTCTCTTCTCTTCTTTCTTTCTTAACTCTGACTATTTTACTCTTTTGTAGTTCCAAAGGACATCATCCTCTGTCAGCATCATCAAGGTTTAACCACAGCATCATCACGGATCCTGGTCTGTCAGACCTGTCGGCGGATATCAGCTCTTCTTCTGATATTCAAGCGTTAAAGGCAATAGTAACGTGAACCTCTCAGCTCCCTCAGCCACATCGGGAATTGTAAGGTAGTATATGGGCATTCAGTAGTACAGTATACTCCAATAAACAACAATGCCCTGGACAATGAACATACTGTACTTCTTTGACTAATACATCAACTGTAATCATGGAAGGAGCTATCGGTGCTACGAATATGATTGTGAAAACACTGGCTGCCGGATACAGAGGTTTAGATGTGTGTGTGTGTGTGTGTTACATTGAAAGAGGACTAATAATTGTAACAAATGTGGCATTTCTCATTAATACGTGTAAATTATGACAATAAATTCATCATCAGCCACAGAAGTGGCCTTATAATATGCATTATTAACTTCTAACCGCAGTGAACAGTATATCATTGGCTTGTTTTATGTTTTTATTAAGTATTAACACCGTTATTAATTGTTTCACACCCATGTACAGTTGATTGTTGACTGTTCAACAGTGAGGTTTACAGCAGATCCAGTGCAGGAGTGTGCGTGTTCATAAGAAATGGTTTTGTGTGTGCATTTCTATGCCAAACTAGTTAAAGTTTCTATTTTGAGCTTGTAAATTAAGGAGTTAGTAAAACCATACGTCTACCCTGGTATTGTAATGTGCATAGTTCAGAAAATAATACTTATTTTATTGTTCTATTTTTTTTTTTTTTTAAGTTTTGGTTAAGTTATATATAGTAAATTAGCTACACATAGCTGTAGTTTTGGGCAATAGATAAAGAATGTAGTTTATAAACTGTATTTCATTGCAAAACTTAGAAGGGAAGTTTGTTAATATTCTTGTTCTCAATCCTGCTTTCCAATAAATGGAAAATGAAAAACCATGAGCTTTGTCTGTCTGTTTGTTTGTTTGTCTATTTATGTATTTTATTTATTTATTTATTCACTTATTTATTCATTTATTGAGAGGCAGAAGAACCATTTTATATTATATATCATCGTAAGTATGATAAAAATATATAATCCATGAGGAGATTTTTTTAGTGTTTAGGAAATTATATCAAAAATGTATCTTTGTGTGTGTGTGTGTGTGTGTGTGTGTGTATATGCACATATACAGTACGTATGACTAATCTACAGTATTTAATATAATCCATGATGACTTTTTTGAACTTTTAATAAGAAATTATACAATAATTCAAATTAAGTTTCCATTTTTTGATCCTAAGTTTCAATAAATAGAAAAAGGAAAACAATTAACTTTGTTTATTCTTTTAGAGAGGCAGAAATATTATATTATAACGAAAATACTTGAAGAAAAAAATTATATAAATTAGTGCTGTCAAACGATTAATCGCGATTAATCACATCCAAAATACGATCAATCGTTTGACAGCACTAATATAAATACATATAATCCATAAAGGCTTTTTTGACGTTTTAAGTGTTAAAGAAATTATTATAGATAGATAGATAGATAGATAGATAGATAGATAGATTAGAGCGCTGCTGTACTCCGACTGTCCAGTAGGGGTCGCGGTTTCCCTGTTTCACGCTGAACTCTTTCAATCACTTCCTGTGCTGCACATTCCTATCACAACAACTCCAGCAGCAATGAAACTTGCACACTTTCACTTCTTCAACACATGGAGACACTTTACAGGGATAAAAATCCACATGGACGAATAATTCTTCATGGAGAGACGCTGATATTCCCGCTGCTGGCTGTCCAGAGGTTATAAACACTGGACTTTTATTGCATCTTCTCTTTTTGGGCTAGCTAGTCGTGCTAGTTAGCCTTCGACTGATAACACAAATTATATCCAAAATATCTTAATTTTTTCATTGATGTGGATTAATAACAGACTCGAGACGCCAGTGTCGCAATGTAAGCTTCATATAATCGTATATGACAGCGTTTCTGCAGTTTTGTCTATGAATTATGTATGTAGTTTAATATTAGCTCACGCTAACTGAAATCATAACAGGGCAGTTTCAGATGTTTGGATATGATTTTTGGAGATACACAGGTTTCAGTGTTTTTTTTTTCTTTACTGATTTAATTTTTTTCCCCACTGTATTTTCACTCCATTAAATTGATTTTTGCAACGCTTTATTGTTGAAATAATGTCTGTGTCCATTTCTGTCAAAATTAATATTGCAGATCATGTGGTTTTTGTTGAACAAACACAAGTCTAACCGTTCCTTTAGTTTGAAAACAGCTCTTTTTAGTTCCTCTAGAGCAGGGGTGTTAAACTCAGTTCCTGGAGGGCCGGAGCCCTGCAGAGGTTTATTCCAAACCTGCTCCAACACGCATACCATGAAGTTTACAAATAAGCCTGAAGGACTTGATTAGTTGGATCAGGTGTGTTTAATCTAAACTCTGCAAGGCTCCGGCCCTCCAGGAATTGAGTTTGACACCCCTGCACTAGAGCTTTTATATTAGATCTAAAGGAAATAGTTTGAGTAAATGATTGTTTCCAAAGCCCTTGTTTAATGTTGAGTTACGTGTCTTTAAGAATCAGCTCTATCTCAGTGAACACATATCGGTTTTCCCCTCTTCTGTCGTCATTCTTTCCTCACTGCGTTTCCTCAGGACAGACCCCTGTTCCTGCCGCGGGACCCATCTCTGACCCGACTCCCTCCGTTTATCTGCCGTCTCTCCACTGTTCCTTCCTCCTTCATTCATTCCTGGCGTATTTTTTTCCTCATTCCAGAGCTCCAGTGCTGATAACCGTCAGTCTTATCTCTGTATGAGTCTCTCATACACATTTAGTGGATATGACTGACTGAGAATCATGTACAGATAAGCTACATCTAAGGCTTCTTCTAGAATGTGTATACAATATCCATACAATTCATTAGTATGATCAGATAATGTTAAGCTATAGTTTTCAGTTACCTATGGCGATAGCATTAGAACAAAGAGGCCGATATATTGCTGCTATATGATGTACAATATGATTAAATGAACATTTTACACTATATTTACTCAACATGCACTCAGAAAGTTTACTAAATCCACTAAAACCTTCCATACTTCAGCCAAGCAAAATATCTAAATATGAAAATTATGTTGTTAAATGGATGGATTAATAGTTTTAATAGGCTCTAAAATAGTATGAGCCACTTGTTTTATAATAAAATTAATTATATTGTTACAATTATTTTAAATGATATTATTATTATTATAGTGTTGTTTGTTTGCAGTGGGAGCTGAAGATGGGGTGGCAGTCGGCAGTCAGGAAAACCTGGTCCTGGAGAGTGACTTCCTCCTCGAACAGGAGCTGGGCTTCGGAGAAAATGACTACAGGATCGTGGGTTTTGAGAGGGACTCGGGTCAGTGATATGGAATATGAAATTGCTTTAAGTCAGCTTACAATTATTTTGCTATACTGTTCCATACTTCAGCCAAGCATTTGCCAAATGAACAAGTCTAAATGTAAAAATAATATTTATGCTAGTTATTAAATGGATAGATAATGTTAATAGGTTTTAAAAATGGGATGAAACACTTTCTAAGCTGTTGTAGAATAACTGTTATAAAAAACACTTTACTAATTAAACTTTGTGAAAGCCTTGTTTTATAGTAGTAATAATAACTATGAATATAATTAATATTATTATTATCATTATTCTTAATAATAATAATTATTATTAAGAATGATTATAATAATAAGGATAGTTATATAATTAATATAATACTAAAATAATCTGTTGTAAAATAGCTAATACAAAAACACTTTCCTTATGAAATTTTGTTAAAGCCTTGTTTTATATAAATAATAATTATGATAATAATGACTAATAAAAGTTATTATTATTAATAATATTCATATAATAAATATATTATAATATTGTATCACTAGTGATAATAATAATAGTAATAGCTAGTTATAACATTATTATTATTTTAGTATTATTATTAGCAATGACAATACAAATAATTATTATTATTAATAATAGTGATAGTAAAAGTAATATATAATATTATATAAATAATGATAATAATAATAATAATACTAATACCATTATTGTTGTTGTTATATAATCTATAATATTTTCAATAATAATAACAACAACTATTATTATTGTTGTTGTTGTTGTTGATTTTATTTATTAAACCTTTCTGTTGCTGTTGCCACAAACCCAAAAACCAACTTAAGGCCTTGCTTTACAGTGATTTTGTGATAAATGAAAACCACATTAAATTAAAAAAATTAGGTTTTTGGCTTTTAGTCATGTCAGGTCATCTATATAAGTGTACTGCTAGTTGACAAAACTAACATTTAGCATATACAGCAGTTCTCTTCTGGGAGAATAGACTAGACATTTTGATGACCCTAATTTGTTTTTTCATCTTTGATAATAATAACAACAACTATTATTATTGTTGTTGTTGTTGTTGTTGATTTTATTTATTAAACCTTTCTATTGCTGTTGCCACAAACCCAAAAACCAACTTAAGGCCTTGCTTTACAGTGATTTTGTGATAAATGAAAACCACATTAAATAAAAAAAATTAGGTTTTTGGCTTTTAGTCATGTCAGGTCATCTATATAAGTGTACTGCTAGTTGACAAAACTAACATTTAGCATATACAGCAGTTCTCTTCTGGGAAAATAGACTAGACATTTTGATGACCCTAATTTGTTTTTTCATCTTTGATATGTTTTGCCTCAGCTCCCTATGTAAAGAAAACGGTTTTAAGTGCTGCATAACAGAGCATGTTGTGATCTCCCGATAGACTCCGTCACGGCTGACATGGGAATGCCGGTGTACGGCTTCAGCGATGAGGACTGTTCCAGCTACAACCGTCTCAGCATGGAGAGCGACTTCGAGGACCCACGAGACACGGAGAGCGAGCGGGAGGAGATGGGCCCCGACACCACGTTTGCCCCGTACCTCTCCTGCAGGCAGTGCGGCCAGCTGCTGGGCGACCCCCTGAGCGACGCGCTGGACCTCGACGGCCTCTACTGCCTCCAGTGTGGCGCCGAGGGTGGAGACGCAGACCGGCAGGACCGTCCGCTAGAGGAGGCCCATCCCACCGACACCGCGCAAGGGAAGGTGAACCGAGGCAGATCCACATCTGACGGAAGCTCTTGTAAAACGTACTCCTGCAAACTGTGCAGCTTCAGCTCACGTTACTCCAACCACTTGAAGCGGCACATGAAAACGCACAATGGCGAGAAGCCATACCAGTGCCAGCAGTGCGCCTACGCCTCCGCCCAGCTGGTGAACCTGCAGCGGCATGTGCGCACGCACACGGGCGAGAAGCCGTACAAATGCGAGTTCTGCACATTCGCGTGCAACTCTCTGGGAAACCTGAAGAGGCACCAGCGCATGCACATGCAAGAGAAAGACCTCAACTGCAGCCAGTGCGACTTCCGCGCCAACAACAGCCACTCCTTAAATAAACACATGATGAGCCACAAGGAGGACAAATCAACAGCCTTAACGGAAGGTAATTGTTTAATCCACTT